TTACAGAGGTAGCAGAAGAGATCATTATAAAAATACTTATTTTCTGAACAGATTTTGGGACAGAATTCCTAATGTAGACTATGAGTAAATTATTTAGGTTCTCTGCTATTCTCAGTTTGCACAAAAACTGAGATCCAATTTGGCTTATTGGTGTTTTGGCTCCAAATACATAAACCTCCCCAATTCAAAATATTGCTTGCTTTAAATTCAATTCAGTAAGATTTCATTATCTATCCTTGGCACAGACTACCTTACATTTGTCAATTACGCGAGTGAGTGTATAATATAACATATAAAAATATACATATATTTATGCTTTACCAACCATGCTATAAATACCCTGAGGGAAAGCCCATGTCTGTTTTCTTTTTTAATAAAGTGAAGAAAAGAGGACAATTTTCCCAGGACCTAGCATAGAATCTTCATCAGAGCAGGTGTGCAAATAAATGCTTATTTATTTATTTTTTACCACAAAAAAGGGCAAGAAACCAATTATCTTTAGGTAATAACCTGAATGCTAGAGAGATGTGAACACATAATACCAATAAGTTCACTTTGAAAAAAAACAGATAGATAGTTGTTGGCAAAGAGCAGCATCCATAACTATTTTCAGAAATGAGAGGGAAGAGCAGAATTATATTATAGATGGCACAGTCTGAATTTTTCCCATCATAATTATTGCCAAGAGTTTCAAAGCCACTCAACAGTGAATCTGTAGCTATTCTAAAAAGCATCCTCAAGCACCTTTTTTTCCTCTTGGGCATCTTCCTGACATTCCCTTACTCTGAGAGGGTAATTAAGAAAATATGATTGTACCAGACGCACATTTCCTCTCTTCTTGAAATATCCCATGGTGACAGCCTTCAAAAAATTAGCTAAGAAGCTCCATGGCAGCTGTCCCTTATCCCCTGGCCCAAACTAAAAACACACAGATTCCGATGAAACAGCATATATGTCCAGGTTGACATCAACAATGTATCCTGAAACATAATTATTGCAGATAAATATGAAATGTTTTCTTCCAAATTAGCCTCAGAGCTGGAAGGAGAGTGGATTCAATAAGTGGACCTGATTGGGCAAAAGGATAGGAGGAATTTTAGTGGAATGACATTACTATTAATTTTGCCAAGGCTCATAGTGTAAATTTGGGCAAGTCACTGCTATTTAGTAAATGGAGAGTAGATAAAATATATAAGAAAATATTTCATACAGGATGTCAGGAAGAAATGAACAGTTTGCGTATCAACTGTCAAATAATCACCTAATTTCCTCTAGTTTAACTTGAAAACATTAGAGAAGACATAGTGAAATGGCACATTACTTTTCATCGCATACAATTTTCCTAACCTTTGAAAGTAAAAACATCTATGTAAAATACTATAAATGCAAAATAAGATGTTAAGAAAAACCTAATGCCCCATTTGGTAAATTTTTAAGAGGTACAGATATGAAAGATAATAGAGGATGCAGTATTTAATAGTTTTTAGAAGTATTCCTTTATGTACCAAAATTTTTTTCAACTGTGCATTAAGGACAGACTTAGCCAAAGAAAAATCCTCTTGGCTGTTAGAAATAAACACTAAGTATAGTTAAGTATGCTTTAAAATAATCCAATTTCTTATGCTTATTTCAAGAGAGGCTAGAACTAATTAAATTATATCAGCACCTTACAATAACGGACTGAATCTTTGCAAAGATGTAGGCCCACACATCTCTCCAGGAAACAGGAAACAACAGGAACAAGTTCCGTGGAATCTTAGATGATTGGAGTATCATTCACTCCAGTATTTTTTTAATTATTATTTTTTAATATGTTTGTTTTTTTTGGTACGTGCCCCGAGCGGGAACTGAATCCAGGACTCTCTGGTCCACAGGCTGACGCTCCAACTGCTGAGCCAAACCGGTCAGGGCATTTTTTAAATATGTTTTTATTGATTTATTTTTTTTTAAGGGAGAGAGAGATAGAAACATCAGTGTGAGAGGGAAACATCAACTGGCTGCCTCCTGCATGCCCCGCCCTGGGGATGGAGCCTGCAACCCTGGGCATGTGCCCTGACGAGGAATCGAACTGGGACCTCTCAGTCCATGGGATGACGCTCAATCCACTGAGCCACACTGGCCGGGCCACTCCAGTATTTTGAACCTGGGGTCCAGAGGTTGTAGGCAGGCTCCTATGACACTGTTTGCTTTTGGAAACTAAAAATACGTGTACTCAAGAATATGCAATTTACGAGGAGAGGACCATGTTTCATCAGAATTTCAAAGTGGCCAGTGAACCTGAAAATTTTTACAAAAGAACAAAGTAGCTTAACTTCCAGGTTACAAATAAGCCCAGAGTTGAAATGGTTGCTCTAAAGACAAACCTAGAGCACCTATAAAATGTCTCTTAACTATTCTGCCCCTATTATTTTTCTCAGTGTAGGTAGAGAAAAAGGTATTAAATGTGCATAGCGTTTTTGCAACCAGATCTTATTTCAGGTAACACAGTAGTTTCTAGGTCAGAATAGTGTCTATAAATACAAAGTCTGAAGGTGTGGAAGGTAATATAGGTGGTCAACAAGTCAAACACACACACACACACACTAGCAATGCCTTGCTGCCTCTAAGCCAAGCTAATACCCACTGCCTTAGGACCCTGCTACAGCATATGCTATGGTCTTCAGACCACTGAGCTTAAGCCTTAGGACCCTGCAAGGGGAAAACAGACCCTGAGATATCACAGTATATACTAGAGAACTATCTCATTAACATGGACTAGTTGTGTAGACTCTCCCCACCTCACTACCTCAGCACCACTGCCCCTCCCCCCTGCCATGATTATAGACAGGTACAGGAATACACATATAACATACAAATGAAAATAATGCATGACATTTAACTGATGATTTTCATAATTATTTTATTTTATTTATTTGTTTATTTATATTTTTAATCCTCACCGGAGGACATTTTTCCATTTTTTGTTCAGATAGAGTGGGAGGAAGAGAGAGAAATATCGATGTGAAAGGGACACATCGAGTGGCCACCACCCACACGACCCAACCAGGGCCGGGGACAAACTGCAACCAAGGTACTTGCCCTTAGCGGGAACTGAATCTGGGTCTCTCTGGACCACAGGTCGACGCTCCAACCGCCGAGCCAAACCGGCCAGGGCTCATAATTATTTTAGGAAAGAATCTCACTAAAATAAATAATGAAGACAAAATCTGTACTGATCCTGTCAAACTACATTGTACATCTTGGCATTTATAAAATAAGAAAGCTGTTTAATTTATGCCTATGCATCAATGTGTGTATAAACATCAAATTACATATTCTAGCTCTACCATTTATATACAGTATGATGTCAGGCAAATGACTTATCTGTCCGTGACTCAGTTCCTTATTATTAAAATAGAGATAACATCAGTACTGGCATTGTTGGATTGTTGTGAGGATTAAATGTGGTAATATGTGTAAAATGTCTATAAAAAGTTTCATATTTTGTGATTTTATAAATAACTATCATCATCATAATCCTCATCGTCATTACTAAGAGGAAGCAATTACTTATTTATGGGGAAAAAGGAGTTAAAAAGAAAAAAAAAGTGCTCAATATCACTAATCATCAGAGAGAAGCAAATCAAAACAACCATAAAACAACCATGAGGTATCACCTCACACCTGTCAGAATGGCTGCCTTCAACAAATCATCAAACAACAAATGTTCATGAGGTTGCAGAGAAAAGGGGACTCTAGTACACTGCTGGTGGGAATGCAGACTGGTGCAGCCACTATGGAAAACAATATGGTGTTACCTCACAAAATTAAAAATTGAATTGCCATTTGACCCAGTGATCCCACTTCTAGGAATATACCCTAAGAAGCCTAAAACACCAATCAGAAAGAATATATGTTTATAGCAGCACTATTTACAGTAGCTAAGATCTGGAAACAGCCCAAGTCTCCATCAGTAGACAAATGGATAAAAAAGCTGTGGTACATATACACAATGGAGTGCTATGCAGCTGTAAGAAAGAAAGATCTCTTATCTTATCCTTTGAGATGACATGGAGGGACTTGAAGAGTATTATCCTCAGTGAAACAAGCCAAACAGAGAAAGACAAATATCATATGATCTCACTTATTTGTGAAATACAATGAACATAACAGTCTGAGGAATGGGGTAGTCCCAGAGACATGGAAGTAGGATACAGACTGACAACCCTCAGAAGAGGGGGTGGAAGGGGGAGAGATAAACCACAGAACTTATATGTATGTACGCATAACCAATGCACATGTACAATAAAGCTGGGGACAGGGTGGGGAGGGGGGAGGGAGGGGGAAGAGGGTGTCAATGGAGGAACAAGGAGAAACATCTGTACCTAAAATAAATAAATGAATACATAGAAAAAAAAAAAAAAGAAAGCTTAAGATAAAATTGTTTATTAATAAAATGCTCAAGCTATCATGAAAATTTAGCCTAGTCCCTAGGAGAATACCAAAAAGTCTTCAGCCCAGGTTTTTCTTGGGGCCACATTCCCATGGACTTGTCACACCATGGTTCTCACCCACATGGGATAAGAAGGTTGGTCTGACCTGGGTCAGTGGAGCAATTTCTCTCTCTCCTGGAGCTGTGGGTGGGACAGCCTCAGGTTCTCCCAGTCTCATTGTATGGGACATCTGATTAGTCTAAGTGTTCTATCTCTGAAATGTTTTCATGATAACTTTAAAGATAATGGGATGCTCTAGGAATCTATGGAAACAGTTTCACTGATGCAATGTCACCATGCTAGTGAAAGCCTCAAATCATGTCTGGCTTAGATGATTCTGTTGGGTTCATGCTATCCCATGTCAGGGACCCACCTAAGGTCATGGAACACACAAATATTAAAAACTTCCAACACGAGGACAGATGCCAAAACTCCCAATGGTGTAAGTGGCCAACATCATACAAGTAATTATCCACCCAGTGTGTCTATATCAACTTAAAATATGTTGTCAAAAATGAAGAGTTTTACCTCTTTATATTCAGCAATGCCCAAGGTATTCCAGAGGGAGTATGAAATGCAGGTAGCAATTTTACCCCAAGTTCCACTGCTTTCTCTCGAAATATCTGAAAAGTTAAATAATCAAGTAAGCTACTGATGTAAGCAAAACAAAACATACTATAATATCTCACATTTAGTACTTTTCTACATAAAATTTTTTTATATGTAAAAAAAATTAAAAGTTTCTCAAACTAAACAAATTCCTAAATTAATAGAACTACCTAGGAAAGTGAAACTGGACCAAAGGCCATTGTGCCATGGGGCATTTATTCCAATTTTGGTTGCACAGTAGAATCACATGAGGACTTTTAAATAATACTGATGTCTGGGTTACACTCCTGAGATTCTAATTTCTATGGTTTGGCTTCCAGATCAGAGTATTTTAAATATCACAGGTAATGTCAGGTGATTTCAACGTGTAAGGAAGGGGGAGAACCACTGCTGTTGGATAAATGTTGGACTGAAAATCAGGACATCTGGTCCTAGTCTCTCTTCACTTATTTACTAGGGCACAGTGAAAGGAGACCAGAGAAAGCGGGATAGGAGGAAGTAAAGGTTAAAGAGAACCAAATGTATGGAGACAGAAGATGATTTGATTTTGGGTGGTGGGCACACAATGCAATATATAGATCATGTATCATAGAAATGTACACCTGAAACCTATATAATCTCATTAACCAATATCACCCCAATAAAAAATAACCCCCCAAAAAGAGAAAGAAGTTGTAACAAGACATATTACAAGTAATTGATATGTCCCCTTAGTCCTTTACAATTTTAACATCCTCTGATGTAAAGTGTAGGTGATTTGGAAGATGCAAAATTAGGTACAGACTCTGCTCAGAATTTAGTAAAGAAAATAATATATGCACCTAAATATCTAGACCACAGATATAATGAGAGCTAGAAATAAAATCGTCTAGCAGTTCAGAAAATTCAGTATGACTGTGTGGCAGAGATGGCCCTTTGCCGAGGGTTGTATGCTGCACGTACTAGGGGCTACTAATGCTGGAGACTGCAGTGAGGCTGGAAGTGGAAGGGCCTTCCTGAAGGCATCAGTCTAAACACTGGTGGAGGTAAGTGGGGGCCTGCAGGAGAAATAAACAGTCTAGTCTGCCTAACCAAAAAAAGGGGAATATTGCTAAATAAGGTCAGGTACATACAGAGAGCATTGGCCTAAATTGTGGAAGGTCATAAATAAAAGGCTAAGAATGTTACTCTATTAAAACGAAAAAATACTGAGTTTCTGAGCAGCCAATTCACTTGAGGAGAATTGTGTTTTAGGAAAATTAATTAGTTGACATCCATTCACAGTTCTGGTTCCAAAGCAACGCACAGAGTTGATTTCTTGTTGAAGGAGGGACTGCTCCAGCTTCCCCTGCTCCAGCTGTGGCAGCAGCAGGTGCCTGTCCCTTTTCCTTGTCACACTGTATGTCTGCACATGGTGGGCTGGGAACGAAATGTTTTCCTTCTGCCTCTTCCTCAAACAAGAGAGATGTGAGAAAGGTTGGGGGAGTCCTGAAAAGCATGAAGAATGGAACCAAGTCCTCTGCCAGCCAGTGGGAAAGCACTCAGTAAAGCACTGTCAAAGCAGTCACATGGGCTTCTCCAGAGGAAAGGGTTCCAGTCCGCGAGGCCTGCTCTAGACCAGAGTGTCCGCAGAGACACTGACAATAATCCAGTAATACCAATGTTGATGCTATTTCTGAAATCATACTCTTTTGGAATCCCACTCTCCTCTAGCAACGAAAGTTAAGAAAGTTGTGTGTTTCAATATAAAAGAGTGATAGGGAATCAATTCAGATTAATATTCCTGGAGTTAAAAAATACAGGCACATTACAAATATATAGAAAGAGCTAAAAAATAGAGGTACTATGCCCCACCCCCCCAAATTATTATAACTCTCTTTAAAGCAGACAATTCCCTGTTTCAACAACTAACAGTGCATGGAACAAGGGGAGGAAAAAAAAAAAAACCAAAATATATTCTTCCTCCCCTTTCTCTGCCTTACCCTAGAGAATTCCAAATTCTCTTCTGCTGTCAGAGACTATCCAATTACTGTCCAGCCATCTTGACTTTCTAGTTTCAACCCAACTTTTTAAACTGTTAATTAACTCCTTTTTAAGAAACTTACATGAGATAAAAGTCAAACTACACAGTTAAAATACCATCATTGATATAATCATATGGCATGTGAGTTAAGGACTCTGGCTTTAAAAACAGTCTTCAAAATTGGGTAATCCTGGACAAACTGCTTAATCTCTATGCCTAAATTTCCTCATTCTAAAATGGAGATAACAATAGCATTTGCTATTTTAAAGGTCATGGAAAGAAATGAATGCACTATTATTATATTTAAAGATCTTAGGATACGTAGCAACCATTCTAAAAGTTTAGTTGTAGTTCTTATGGTGATAATAATAACAGCATTTGCCTAAGAACTTCCCCTATTTAACTGCCTGAAATTCTTTCTTGTCTTGGCTTTTATCCAACTGCTGTTTTGGTACCTTATACTCCAGGTTCTATGTGTGTGTGTGTGTGTGTGTGTGTGTGTGTGTGTGCCCTTTCCCAATACACACACTTAAAATTTTTTTTTCTTTTTTTCATAATGTTTATTTATTTTTGTTACAGATGCTTCTCCTTCCCCCCCCCCATTGACACCCTCCTCCCAATCCCGCCCCACCTCCAGCCTTATTGTCTATGTCCTTGTCTATACATACATGTGTGTAAGTTCTGTGATTTATCTCTTCCCTCCCTCCATGTCCACCTCTTCTGAGGTTTGTCAGTCTGCACACCACTTCATTGTTTCCGGGTCTGTTTAGCTCCTCACTTGTTTTGTTCATTATATTCCACAAATAAGTGAGATCATGTAATATTTGGCTTTCTCTGATTGGCTTGTTTTTCTTAGGATAATACTCTACAGGTCCCCCTATGGCATCTAAAAGATAAGAGATCTTTCTTTCTTACAGCTGCATAGTTTTCCATTGTGTATATGTACCACAGCATTTTTATCCACCCCTCTACTGAGGGACACTTGGGCTGTTTCCAGATCTGAGCAGTTGTAAATAGTGCTGCTATGAACATGGGGGTACATATATTCTTTCTGATTGGTGTTTCAGGCTTCTTTGGATATATTCCTAGAAGTGGGATCACTGGGTCAAATGGCAGTTCCATTTTTAATTTTTTGAGGAAACACCATATTGTTTTCCATAGTGGCTGCACCAGTCTGCATTCCCAACAGCAGTGGACTAGAGTTTCCTTTCTCCACACCCTCGCCAGCACTTGTAGTGATGATTGGTTGATGGCAGCCATTCTTGCAGGTGTGAGGTGATACCTCATAGTTGTTTTAATTTGCATCTCTCTGATGATTAGTGATGTTGAGCATTTTTTCATATGTCTCTTGGCCATTTGTATGTCTTTTTTGGAGAGGTGTCTATTTAGGTCCTCTTTCCATTTTGTTTTTTTTTATCCTCACCCGAGGACATTTTTCCATTTTTTGTTCAGGGAGAGAGAGGAACAGAGAGAGAGAGAGAGAAACATCGATGTGAAAGGGACACATCGAGTGGCTGCTACCCGCACGACCAACCAGGGCCGGGGACAAACTGCAACCAAGGTACATGCCCTTAGAGGGAACTGAATCCGGGTCCCTCTGGACCGCAGACCAATGCTCTATCCACTGAGCCAAACTGGCCAGGGCATCTTCTTCCCATTTTTTTAAATTGGGTTCTTTGTCTTCCTTTTGTTGAGTTGTATGAGTACTCTTTATATTTTGGAAATTAGCCCTTTATGTTATGTATTGTTGGCAATTATTGTCTCCCATATAGTGGGTTCCCTTTCTTTTTTGATGCTTGTTTCTTCTGCTGTGCAGAAGCTTTTTAGTTTGATGTAGTCCCATGTGTTCATTTTTTCCTTTCTCTTGCTTTAGGCATTGTATCAGTGAAAATTCTGCTGCATGTGATGTCTGAAATTTTGTTGCCTGCATTTTCTTCTAGGATTTTTATGGATTCATGAGTCACATTTAAGTCTTTTATCCATTTTGAGTTTATTCTTGTGTACAGTGTAAGTCGGTGGTCTAGCTTCATTTTTGGCATGTAACTGTCCAGTTTTCCCAGCACCATTTATTGAAGAGGCTGTATTGACCCCATTGTATGCTCTTGCCACTTTTGTCAAATATTAATTGAGCATAATGACTTGGGTCAATTTCTGGGTTCTCTGTACTGTTCCATTGATCTATATGCTTGTTCTTGTGCCAGTACCAGGCTGTTTTGATTACAATGGTATAATCTGATATCTGGTATTGTGATCCTTCCTACTTTTATTCTTTTTCAAATTGCTGTCGCTATTTGGGGTCATTTTTAGTTCCATATGAAGTTTGGAGTATTTGTTCTAGTTTTGTGAAATATGTCATTGGTATTTTAATGGGGATTGCACTGAATCTATAGATTGCTTTGGGTAGTATGGACATTTTAATGATGTTAATTCTTCCAATCCAGAAACAAGTATATGCTTCCACTTTTTTATATCTTCCTCTATTTCTTTTTCAGTGACCTGTAGTTTCCTGAGAATAGGTCCTTTACTTCTTTGGTTAAGTTTATTCCTAGGTATCATAATTTTTTTGCCACAATGGTAAATGGGATTGCTTTTTTAGTTTTTTTCCAGTGAGTTCGTTGTTGGTGTACAAGAATGCCGTCGATTTCTTAACATTAATTTTGTATCCTGTTACTTTGCCAAATTTATTAAATCTAATAGATTTTTGATGGATTCTTTAGGGTTTTCTATGTACAGTATCATGTCATCTGCAAATAATGATAGTTTCACTTCCTCCTTTCCAATTTGCATCTTTTTTATTTTTTCCTCATGTCTAATTGTGGTGGCTAAGACTTCCAGTACCATGTTAAATAAGAGTGGCGAGAGTGGGCATCCCTGTCATGTTCCTGTTCTTAAGGGAAATGCTTGTAGTTTTTGCTATTGAGTATGATGTCGGCTGTAGGCTTTTCATATACTGTCTTTATTATGTTAAAATATGATCCCTCTATTCCCACATTGCTGAGTGTTTTTATCAGA